GCCATTCTCCTGCTTTTATTTCTCATTAGCATCCTGCAGGCCCTGCATCCACAGATCAGTCTGTGGCGTGCTTTCTTTTCTGACGACACGTGGGCTCGCAGCTCTCTGGCACACCTGCCCAAAGTGACACGGCCGTGTTGGCCTTGGGCCCTAGTCTTCCGTTGCCTTGCTTTCTGCCTTTTTCCTCTAGAAATTATTTCTCATGGGAGTTTGGTGAAGACGAACAAAGTCCCCTGAAGCTGGTCGACCCCCAAGTAAGGGACAGAATTAGAATTTCTGAACGTGCAAGGTGGGAAGCAGTCAACAGTAGTAGTTAAAAACCGGAGTTCCCAGCTCCCTCAGGTAAGCTACTCCATCTCTACAAATCTTATCTGCGTCATCTATCAAGCAGCCGTGTGAATTATCCCAGTGTGTGTAGGGTGGCTGGGAAGATAATCTGTGCAAGCAAATGGTACCAAGTCCTTATTACAAATAAGTTAATAATTGTTAGCTCTTTACTATTGCAACCTGGTCCTTCGGGTGTCTGGGGTGGTTCAGTCGGCTAAGCGTCTGCCTTCGGCTCAGGTCATGATCCCAGGGCCTTGGGCTAGAGCCCCGCGTTGGGCTCCCTGCTTAGCAGGGAGTCTGCTTCTCCCTCTGCTTCTCCCCCTGGCTTGTGCTCTCTCTCTCTCTCTCAAATAAATAAAATCTCTAACAAAACCTAGTCCTTAAACCACAAAGATGTAAGATGCGGTTTTTCTCATGAATCTTAGCCTGGCAGTCTTTAGTCCTTACTACAGGCCAGTTATGGAGGTCATTGTATTCAGGGACTTCCCACCTGCAGGCCTGCTATGGATGCTTTAGCACAACAGGACGGATAAATGTCCATGAGGTTTGAGCTGCTCTATCTGGTCACAGGATGTATCGAGACAGAGCAGTCGAATTGTGGTGACAAGGTAAGAAATGAGGTAATGAAAAAGCAAATCAGTCTTTGTCAAAGATGGTAACATCTCCCTTAAAAACATGGGGAGGCCATTACGTGGACTGGTGGATGTCAAGAAACGCGTATCTATCATTTCCCCGTCACTTACCGCTGAGTTGCTGGAGTTCCATATTCAAACTTTCAATGTTGCTCTCATAGAACTCAAGATCCTCAAGGGTCTCTTCCCTTAATGATTCATCTTGCTTTTCCTCCAGCGTTAAGTTTAGCTCTTCTTGAGCCCTGCTACCCACATCCAAATCCTGTTCCATTTCCTGAACCCTCACCAATACTAAGGGACACTGGGAAGTCTGGTCCAAAGTCTGGTCCACACTCTCAGGGCCCTCCTTCTCCGGCGTCTCACAGCTCGGACGGGTACAGGTTAGGAGCCTGGGGGATCCTGGAGTCCCCCGATGCTGTGCCGAGGGAGGCAGGGGAGCGGGGCGAGAGGGTCGCATCGTCAAGGGCGGTTCAGGTTTCAGGTTCTGGTCAAGAAGCATGTGGGGAGAAGCGGATGCTGGAGTACAGGGACGCGGTGGCGGGGGCCTTAGGGCCTTCCTCCTCTCAGGAAGCTCCTGCTGGCTGGTTAGCTTTGAGGAACCTCGGACAATGTCCTTCTCCGAGTTAAAGTCCATGATTGAAAAGTGGCGCAAAATTTTATCTGGTTCTAGGCCGGGCCCTGACAAGCTCTTTTCAAACTCTATCAGCTGTTGTGTCAACTTCGAATCCAGGTCAGTGTTGCCTTCTCCGTGTAAAAGTGCCATGGCTTCGGCTGCAAACACCTTGTCTTGCAGACCAGGCCTCATGTCTGATCCCTCTGGTGCAGAACAAAAGCTGGAGACGTTTGCTTTGGGCATGTGGTGCTTTATAGCACATCTTGCCACGCCCTGGAGCAGAGAGCTCAACTGGCTGGGTGTGACTACCCGAGGGCCTAGAAGATAAGAGCCACCGTGAGGAGGCAGCACTGGCTTCTGAAGGGTTTTTGGTGGAGAGGACATTCCTCTGGGAGGTAGGCTGGAGTTGTCTTTAGTCCTTGCTTCAAAGGGAAGAGGGCCAGCGTACTGCTCTGAGCTTCGGTGGCCCCCTCCTGCTGTAGAGTAATACTGGTGTTTCTGCAGTCTGGGAGGAAAAGGTACCTGAGGTTGGGAAGAAACCCCATTGACTATCTCTGAAGGATCCTCTGCAGAAGAGTCTTTGGCAAGAGGCTGTTCGTGCCCCAGGCCTGGGCTTCTTGGGGCACCCCCTGAGAGGCCTTCATCCTGATGACAGTTTTTGTTTACTTCATACTCAGAAGTCAGATGCTCCAGGGGAGAAGCAGATGTCTCAGAAATAACACAGTTGGACTTCTCTGCTTTATACTCAGGAGATTCGGGTTTTCTTCCTTCCACCACCAAGGAGTTCTCTGAACAACCCAAAGAAGGGTCAGGGATCTCAGTAGGGCTGCTTTCCTGTGGAGGATCCATGGTCTCCTCTGCTCTTGTTTTAGAAAATAGCTTTACAAATCGGTAAGGAAAGATGCCTGTCCTGCCCTTCAGTGATCCTTCTAGCCACCCATCTTCCAGCGTTCCCAGAATTCGGATTTTATCACCTACCTCAAAATCCAACTCATTCGGCTCCAGGGCCTGGAATCTGTAGAGGGCAATTCCATAAGTCCCCGGCTGCTCCTCATCCTCTTCCGGCCCCCTCTCGTCTTCTCCTGCAGGGATCTCTTCTTCACCATTAATAACACAGTCGTCGTGATTTCCAGAACTTACCAACTCATCCACAGTCCTCAGGGGCCCCAAAAGCTCTACAAAACCTTCGGGAAAAATGCCTCTTCGACCCTCTAATTCCCCTTCAAACCAGCCTGGCTCAGGAACTCCAATAATGGTAATCACATCCCCTTCTCTGAAGTCCAGCTCCTCGTCCAGCTGGGCCGAAAGCCCCATCAGCGCCCGCGCTTGTCCCATTGAGTACTCAGGAATCTGGAGCGAGGTGCTCTGTGGGCACCAGCAACGACTCTGTGAGGAGAGGCAGAGCTCCCGAACACACGACGACGGGAAGCAGCCCCGGGCACCCCAGCAGCTTCGGCCCTGCAGCCAGCCGGCCGTGGGGGCACCATCGAGAATCACTAGGTCACCTAAAGAAAGACAAGCAAAGACAACGACCTGAGTCATCACCCCAAAAGAACACTGCCATAACTAATAGTGCAACTCATCGTTTTAAACATCTATCAGATTCAGGGAAATATAACTCTGGAGTTTTAAGGGCATAATACTTCTGACAATTTAGCGAATTTCGACAATTTAGTGACAACACAGTGCACAGTCCTGTAAACCAGTGCTTTTCAACATGTGGTGCGTGGAATCCTGGGGGAGCTCCAAGATCCTTTCAGAGACTCTGTGAAGTCCAAACTATATTTTCTTCAGAGACTTTATATATTTCAGTTAAAACAAAATATCACAGTCGATTGAATATAAATACAGATATGAGCATTTAGCTTCCTTCTATTAAAGCAAATATTTTTTAAAGATTTTATTTATTTGAGATGGAGAGAGAGCAAGAGCAGGGGCAGAAGGAGAAGACGTGGGACTTGATCCCAGGACCCTGAGATCATGACTTGAGCTGAAGGCAAACAATTGACCAACTGAACCACCCAGGTGCCCCTATTAAAGCAAATATTAAAGAGATTTGCAAAAATGTAAACCAATGATATTCTTCCTACTAAATTTTTTTGTTTAGAAAATTATTTTTCATTAAAAATATGCTATTTATGTGGGCGCATGGGTGGCTCAGTTGGTTGGGCGACTGCCTTAGGCTCAGGTCATGATCCTGTAGTCCCAGGATAGAGTCCTGCGTCGGGCTCCCTGCTCAGCGTGGAGTCTGCTTCTCCCTCTGACCCTCCCCCCTCTCATGCTCTCTCTCTCTCTCATTCTCTCTCAAATAAATAAAACCTTTAAAAAACTATGCTATTTACGTTAATATATAACAGGTTTTAAAAAATGAATTGATAAATATTTTTTAAATTTCTGTTTTAACAGCAGATATTGCAAATATCAATAGACTCAGGTAAGCAAGAGCTCTTTAGGGTTTCAATAACTTTTAAGAGTATAAAGGGCTCCTGGGACCAAAAAAGTTTGAAAAATGCCACTATAAACAATGTTCTTACAGTTTGTGTCATTGGATTAGTTTATAAATGATAAAGAATATATACATGTCCATTATAATCCTTTGAACAGATGCATCCGATCTCTCACACTAACTTTTATTCAACATCAAATACAGAACAATGAAAGAAGTCTTCAGGAATGGTTTCTTTCTTTAAAGATGTATTTATTTATTTGAGAGAGAGAGAGAGAGAGAGAGAGAGAGTGAGCGTGCATGAGCGAGAGGGGCAGAGGGAGAGGGAGAGAATCTCAAGCAGACTCCACAATGAGCTAGGAGCCCGGATCAGGGCTCGATCCCACAACCCTGAGATCAGGAGGACGCTCAACCAACTGTGCCACCCAGGCAACCCCTCAGGAATGGTTTCTTTGTTGGAGGTACAGGGTGTGGGCAACAAGCTTTTCATTTACTTCCTCCAGAGGCCTTTTTGAACTATCCTTACCCTGACAATACATTATATCGAAATCTTAAGTGTGTTCTAGCAATCAGTACTTTTGTGGGGGTTTTTTGTTTGTTTTTTAAGATTTTATTTATTTATTTGAGAGAGAGAGAGAGCATGTGTACCCGCACAAGTTGGGGGGGAAGGGCAGAGGGAGAGGAAGAAGCAGATTCCCCACTGAGCAGGGGGCCCAGCTTGGGGCTGGATCCCAGGACCCGGGGATCATGACCTGAGCGGAAAACAGATGCTTAACCGACTGAGCCATCCAGGCGCCCCAGTACTTTTGTTTTGGAAAATAGTTCCAATATCGATGTTTCAGGTTAACCTAACAAAATATAAGCTGAACAGTTAGCATATGTCTTACTGTTGAAGAAAGTGAGGTAAAGAAAGGATAGGGCACAATGATTCTGGAAAAAAATCAAGTTAAAATTCAGTCTTAGAGGATTTGCCCCAACTTAAAGAATTACTCTATAGTTCTGTACTAAATTGTTTTATAACAAACTCTTAATTATCTGATAATGAACTGTTCGTTTTGTGGATTATCAGTTTCAACCTTTTTTAAACTTCCCTCTTACTTGACACCTAGTCAACTTTACTTTCATCAGCAGAGGTAATCAAGGAACGCAACCAGCCTAAGTAAAATAAGAGCAGGACAGCAAAGCACCTAAGTCATGTAAGTCATTTTATAGTCAAGCATATTTTGAAACTGGATTATCTTTTAGGGTATCAGCTTGCATGCTCTTGATTAACAAATTAACAAATAGATTAACAAATTGAGTCTGTCCTATCTTCCCACCAAGTGAATTACATATTCCTCAATGGCAGGTACCACTTCTCTTTTGTATTTCGTGAATCGGATACAATGCCTTTTGCATAGCAAGCATTCAATGTCCATTTGATAAAGACAACGATTCTCCAACTCCAACTCCCAAATAAATTAATTATATCTTCCCTCCAAAACTCGCTTCAAGCTGCTAGCTTCCCTTTTCTCTCTAATATCCTCTTACAAGCCTTTTTTAAAAAAATATTTTATTTATTTCAGCGCAAACGAGTGAGAGAATGAGACAGTAAGAGAGAGAGAGAGAGCAAGCAAGCATGAGCAGGGGGTAAGGGGAGAGGGAGAAGCAGACTCCCACTGAGCAGGGAGCCCAACACAGGGCTCATCCCAGGACTCCAGAGATCATGACCTTGAGCCAAAGCCTGACACTTAACCAACTGAGCCACCCAGGCACTCCTCCTTCTAATATCTTCTTGCAGAAATTATTTCCCCTCATTACTCGTTCTTGCTACCACCCTAGTCCAACAATCATCATCTCACTCTCTTAAACCTTGCCCCAGACTTTGTCTCTTCCAGTCTCCTCCCAATGATTCATGCCAAACTAATGTGATAAATGTACCAATTTTACCATATCCCTCCCCTGCTCAAACTTTTCTCTAGAGGCATGAAGGCGTCTTCCTACTCCCATAGAATTCTTCTCTAAAAATCCTATTCTTATTAACTAAAGTAGATTTTTAAAAAAAAGTTTGCTCCGGACACTCTCTAAAGAGGTTTAATTACTCAACTACCAAAAGACTATTTTTATGTTTTTACCTCAGTGCAACCTGGCATCTACTGCCAGTCATACGCCCTCCCCAACGGCTACCCCAGCCAGCCAGTATTATCTCACCTATGAGACCCTATTTCACACAAGGGCACTTTCATTAGCTCCTATACAAGTCTGTCTATCTGAAACCCTAGCATACTTTTCTAAAGGACGTTAGAAACCCACATTCACCTTGGCCATCTGTAGTCTACTAACGAAATGATTATTTCATCACTCATTTTGACACTTGTATTTTCACAGACTACACAGCACCTAACGTAAGCTTTTGCGCTTGGTGGTAGGCACCCTATTCATTTTCACTGATTTGATATGTTTTACTTAGAAATTCTTGAGAAACAGGGTCTTGGCCCTCTATTTCTATATTTCTTTCATTTATGATTCAATATCCACTGGTTGGAACTTGGGGTCCTGAGAATGTTACAAATTATTTTCCCCCCCACTAATTCTAAGGCTCTTCCATCAGAACCCCAGAGGGCACTAACTGAAGACAGGTTATTGTCCAGGCACAACAGGCCTTTCGGGGAAGAAGAAGAACAAAAGCTGGCCACAACTCCCACTCCACTGGCTTGGGAATGAACAGGATTCCCTAATGCTGCAGAATGACAATGTTTTCCTTGCTTTGCCAGATCTCCAGGAAACCCTTATCACAGGGCTTGCTTTTCCTATTTTCAGCTGGGTGACTGTTTTGATAAGCTTTATTACCTGGCAGACTGTCACTCTGTTGGCTACTTCTATGTAAAAAAGGTAAACTTTTTATAAATCACAGTTTAGATCCTGAAAACACTTTAGAGATAATTTTGCTCAACACCTTTATTTTGTTGCTGGTACTGAGTTTTTTGCATGAGTCTCTCATTTTCATCAGAGAGTCGTGCCCCTGTTCCCCTGGCGTCCCAGGTGATTCCTGAGGAACGAAGGCTACCTAGTGGTCATTTCCAGACTTCGGAAACAATATGAGCAACTGCTGGAAGAGACTGCCCAGATTTCGCAAACGGGAAAACAGGAAGTGTGGTGATCCTTAGGGTCAAGCTGAGGCTTCCACTCGTGCACAGTTAATCCCAGCTGCCCGGCTGCCTGCTTCTTCTGCTTGGATTTTTTTCTTTGAGCAAGCGATGCATTTAGGTATACGATGGTAAGAACAAATGCAAGTCTTCTTAGAATCTGAATATAAGTAGTCTGACTCTGCAGTATTAGGTCCCCCGCTGAATCGCAACGCCCAGGAAGACTATGTGCTTTATGCAGACTGACCACACATGTTACTGAGATTTCCATGAGCCATGTCAGAACCTTACCCTCATAGGTCACACACATGGCATCACAGACTTATGGCATGGGTGCTATATCATTCATCAGGTTATTTGTAAATAAATTTCTCCAAAAAGTTAAAAATAGAACTACCCAATGATCCAGTAATTGCACTATTGGGGTATTTATCCCCAAAATACAAAAACATTAATTCAAAGGGATGCATGCTTATTGCATGCTTATTGCAGCATTATTTACAATAGCCAAATTATGGAAGCAGCCCATGTGTCCATTGATAGATGAATGGATAAAGATCTAATACACACACACACACACACACACACACACACACAATGGAATATTATCCAGATTGAATAAAAAAAGAATGAAACCTTGCCATTTGCAACAACATGGATGGAGCTAAAGAGTATAATGCTAAGTGAAATAAGGCAGTCAGAGAAAGACAAATACCATATGATCTCACTCATATGTGGAATTTAAGAAATAAAACAAACGAGGGGCTCATTTGGTTGAGCATCAGCCTTCGGCTCAGGTCATGATCTCAGGGTCCTGGGATTGAGCCCTGAGCTGGTCTCCATGCTTCTCCCTCTCCTTCTGTCCTTCCCCCCTACCCGTGCTCACTCTCTCTCTCAGATAAATAAATGAATAAATAAAATCTTTAAAAACAAA